TTAAAATTAATTTTTTTTTCAAATGCTTTGGAATTAAAATATGAAGTCGATATGATAATACTGGAATATATTGGTATGCAGTTTGGTATGAATGTTAAAGGAGAGTAATAGCGCATTTATGGTTTTATGAGATTTTTGGAATTTTCCTATTTGAATGTTAATAGTTAATTTAGAATTTTTAGGTTAGGTAGTGGTTCATTTACAAAATTGAAGCTTTACCCCGAATTGCACAAGTCGGTAGATCGATCAGAAATCCGGCACTGAATTTAATAACTAGGTTCGAAACCTAAGTGGATCATATTCGGGAAATAAAAGCAGCTCGGATTAAAAAAGTGCAAAAAATAATGATCAAAAATTAAAAAGGTTTCACCAAAAAATTTGATTTCTTTTCTAATATTTCATTGGTTTCTTGGAATCTTAAATCGTCAATAACTTAAGAGTTAATAGCTATTCTTCATATTAAATGAGCCTACAAACTGTAAACACTTCACCAACTCACCCACCAACTAGACATGCTAATAAATTGATAAACATTTATTTTTGTCTGTGAGAGTTTATTTATTTTATTGCACAGCGTATATTCATATATGTATCGTGGAAAAATATTAATATTAATAGATTTTTCTCCACATCTTCTTATAAGAAATACAATATTTGTATAGACACGGGACATTTTAGTGTTCGATTCGAATTGTAATTTGTTTGATATATATTTGATTATTAATTAACTGCTCTAAATTTATTTCTATGCTAATTTTAAGAAATATAGTCGATAAAATATGGAATGGAATTCTTTAGAAGTTGTGAAATATGAGAATGGTGATGCATGGAATTTTTGGGTGAACCCTTGTGGGAAATTATGAAATTTTTCACATTTTTACTTTAAATTTTTCAAAAAATTTTGAAAAAATAAAAATATAAAAAAATTAAAATTTCAAAAAATCTGAAAAAACTTAAAATTTCAAAATATTAAAGAAAACTTAAAAAATCAAAAAATGAAGAAAAAAATTAAAAATTAAAATTTTATAAAATATCCAAAAAAATTAAATCCAAAGTTATCGCATGGATCACCAAAAAATAAATTAAAAGTCAATAAAAATAAATTAATATGAAACATTTCTTTTAAAATCACATTAGAGGAATTGATGGAATTTGTTATCAAAATAGTTTTTCTTCCAATTCAAACAGTGCCGAGTTAAGCTATGTTGAATGTTTTTTTAACCTAACGAGATACATTTCTGCAAAAACCCAAAATCCTGAGTTATGATTAAATCTTCGCACATTACTCGCTATGGTTTCACTTCAGATTCAGCCCAAAAATAAAAAATAAAATGTTTATGAAATAAGCTAAGGAAAATTTATGTCAAATGTTCATAAATCGAATCGTGTTTTAAGCAGGTGAAAAAAAATTCAGATTTTTTAGAGTATTAAAGTGATAAATATTAATTTGTGTTATTTTGATGAAGATGGAATAACATTTGGATGACAACGCGACTAGATGGATTAAGTAAATGATTTTCATGAAATGTTTATTTGTTAAATTTATTGCGAATAATTTTAAATGTGTTAAAATTGGGTTTTAAATGGTTGACAAGCTAAGAATGAATTATGAGACAGTAATAGTTTTTTGAGGCTATAGTTGGTTCTATTTTAATTTGTGTAATTCAAATTATTTTGAAAAGTTTGTGAGAATCGAACTTGTACTTTTATGATTATTGATCGCTTGCCCTTTTAAAACTAACAGAGCTAGCTTTGTTGCTTGAAATAATGGCAACTTAAGCTATTATATTGATCGAACTAAAATCTTGATTGTAGTCTTTGATATAAAAAAGAAAAAAAAAATAAACTTTAGCATTCAGAACTTAAGATTCGTTACAAGACTAATGATAGTTTAGCGAATAAGGGTTCACCATACCTCCCGCTCAAACCTAGACCTACAGCTTGGAGTGGGATCCGAACCACTCCTTTAAAGATATTTCTGCCTGTTGCTTACAAAGAAAGGCTATTAGCCTCATTTTCAGTACATATTGTTCGAAAAAGGACAAGTATTTGATATGTTCTCACTTAAGAACCTAGATTTTAATGAAATTTATCTTTCAGCATCATCATTAGCATCTCTATAACACGCCACGTCCCCATCCTGTCTTCCACGTGTAAACCATCAAGTTATTTTAACGACTTAAATATTAAAAACTGAAATTTCTTTCACATAAGTGACTAATTCTAATATCAGACAATATTATCTCCAATTCCAATGCAATCATCACAAACACCCGAGAAAATGTTCCATTTAAATCCCATAAAATAACTAAATTCTTCTCAATAAAACTTTTTATCATCAAAACACCGCAAAATCATTAAAAATGTTCCAATTTTCGAGCAAAAAATATCTCAAGATTTTATTTTTCTCACTTCCAAATCCCGCTGATGGTGATCGTAAAGATAAAAAAATTCAATTTCGTTATCATAATTTTCTACTCAATTTATAAATTGCAAAATGCTTTTTCGCAGCTTATTAAATAGAAAAAAAAACTAAAACGACGGTAAATCCATAAAAGATTTTAGTTAAAATTTTCAATAAGGATAAAACATTTGCGACATTAAACAATCATCACAGCCATCATTTCTTTTAAGACAATAAATGGCTTCCAAAAACTACATCGCGTTTAGGAATCGATTGATATTGTCACAGCAAACTTAACTCCTCTAATATGTCATTGAGTCTTAATAAGAAGAAATATTCAAATTTAGTGTGGACATTATCATACAAATATATTTGCTCATAAACTTTTATAGTTATTGGGATGTAACTTATCTGCTTGCGAGTGGCCGAACAGCTCTAGTTTGTTGGTTCGAGATATTTTTTTTCAGACTTGATTAAAATTTTATAAAAGCTAAGAAAGATAAAAGAAGTCTATATGCTATGCTAAAGTGATTTTAGACTGTCCTAGATGGATGTTTTATTTTTTTTTATAAAATTTTATTTTAATTCTTGTGAAGCATAGTGAAATTCGTTCTGGAACAGTGATGGTCAACCTATGTGATGCCGCACACTGTTCCATCAAAAACTTCTAGAAATTCCTTAAACCGTGTACAATGTGCGTTTTTGGTTATGGCTTACCACAAGGTGTGCCGTAGCGCAAAAAAGGTCAGCCACCACTGTTAAAGAACCATTCAAATTCTCAGTACTGAATATACAATTTTTAATAAAAACCCTAAAAACCTCACAAATTTCCGAAAAAATTGAGAATAAAACTATATTAAATGCAAGGCTTGGACACTGCGATTAATCCCAATAATTGCAATAATTGCAATAATCCTGAATAATCCCAGCATAATTTTGAGTGCCAACACCATGATTAAATGCGTTTTAAATAACCAAAAGAAGCACCCCAGCCACCGTTCAAACTCATCTCGCCAACATTTCTCATTTGTTGACTTTGTTTCTTCCCAATTATCTCACCGACACTCAAACAAATGTGAATTCATATATTTTATACTGTTTTGACGGAAATTTGAATAAATTAATGCGTTTTAAAGTGCCTTTTTATAGGCGATTGTGATGCGAATATAATAGATGTCGTATACGACTTACTGTATACATATGTGGATTTATTTTTTTTTGATATTTTTATCTCCGCTCTTCTCGTTTCTCTTTTTTGCACCGCATTCAGTGATGCGATGATAAAAAAAAGGTTGAAAAAAATAGAGAAGGCAGGAACAGCAACAAAAAAAAAAAGTCCGAACGAATTTTTGTCGTCATTCGCTTCTTAAAGACAATAAAAAATCAAGTTGATGCGATCAGGAAAGGAATTCACTTGAGAGAGTGAGCCCTCGCCGACCTCTAACTGTAATATTGTTGTGGCTTGACTGTCGCTGCATGACATCGGATGTTTGTGGTGATTAGGAAATTTATGTTAATAGTCATGCGACAGCACTTTGCTTCATTAATAGAATATTTACAACTTTTCCATAAAGTCCCTATGTGTGCCTCTCTCATTCTATGTCTTTTATACCTTTCCATCGTCATCTCATGACAGTGAGTTGGAGATAAGAGCAAGCGCAAAAAAAAATATGTACAGAAAATTGAAATTATTGTGGAATATGGATACATGAGAGAATTCTATGGAATATTTTTATATATATTTTTTTCTTGTCTATAATACATCCAAATAGCCGTGGATAGCCGTGAAATTTTTTTAAAAACCATTTTCAAGGAAATTCCTTTCCTCATGTTGATTTCATGTTAACAACATCTGCAATAACTATGTTTATGCCTTTATGGATCTGTGTATGCTCATTAATATGGATGTACTTGTGTCAAGAGAAGATGCAATGAATATTTTTCGTTACAATTTGGAATTTTTGTGGATTTTAATGACATTATTTTTTTAATGTGGGAATCTTAATGATAGTGCAAGTTTGCATCAAGCATTTAGGTTTGAGTATGAAGATTAGTTTAGTCGGTTAATCGATCAGAAATCCTACATCAAGCCGGTGTGACTCTAGCATGATGCTTGATTTAAATCAAAGCCAGCACCATGCCAGAGTCATACTGGCTAGGCGCTGTATTTTTATTCGATTAACCGACTTGTGCTATTCGGGATGAGCTCTCGAAAGAGATTTGATAGGAATCGAACAAGAACTTTTGAAGAGATTTTAAAATACTTTATCAAATGGACTAGTCCATAAGCTATACTTAGACACTTAAGCCAGTTTAGCATTTGGTAGATTACATCCATTACTGTTTAACTGTAACTTTTTATGCCTTAAAACATGTTTTTTTAAATAATTTTTATCAACGAGAAGTTGGTTTGATTTTTAAAGCTTCTCTCTGTGTAGAAATTGGAACTCTCAGTTCCTTCATTACAAAATAATTTATTTTTTATAGAAAACTCATTTACATGAAAGAAGTACGATTATAGCATGTCATATAAAAAAAATCCCATTAATATATCGTCGACGAAAAATTCAAATTAAAAATCATTTATTCAACTCACCTTACATCCCTCACATGTAAATGCACCAAAATGAAATCCTGCTGCTGGTTCGCCACACACTTTGCACTGCTGATTCATCTGCAATTAACAAAGGAAAATAATAAAAAAGAAAGTCAGTAATTGTTTTCAATTTTCTAGAAATTAAAATTTCTTTATTGAAAAAGAGTATTATTTTTTGCGGTCACATGCATATTAGCGATGACGATCCATAGGAATATCAATTGATTAATTTCTTCATCGTGCATCAATTCATTCCGCTTCATCATCAAGTTGTAATTATGAATTTGCACAAAAAAAATGTTATTGCATTTAATGAATAAAAAATTTTCAACAATAAATCGCACACAAAGATTGTTGAGATTGACTACAAAAGCAGTCCTCAATTCATATGAAATTCCAAATCGTACAAATTACATTATTAACCAATTAATTAACAAATTGAGTCAATACATTCCATCAAAGCGACAATCAATCAATTTAGTCAATTCATATTCGCATAAATATGAAGCTATAATGTGAAGATTCATCGTCAATACAAAATGAGAATTCACTTTTTTATTCTGTTTCCTCGTGTGTGCTCTTTTTTGCGTTTTGATCAATATTAACTGCAAAAAAGTCATATTATGGAAAACATATTAGCAAGTAAGAAAATTTTCAGGGATTTTCGACATAAAGCGCATTTTTGGTAGCTTATAAAAGTAGAGTCTTACAAAAATTCATTGAAGCACTTATAAAAAGTTCAATTTACTCATCCTTCAATCCAGAAGTCAATGTTCCCAAAACTGACCACCTCAACACATCACTTCCAGCCTTAACAGACCCATCAAACTCAAAAGATGCACAAGGAAAAAATATAAATGTCTATTTGTACTGTAATAAAAATGCGAAACATTTTCATCGTTTGAAAAAAGAATAGGGTAAACCATGTTAAAATTTGTGCAATGTTGAAATTTGTGCGCTCAAATTAATTGTAAATCATCTAAACTAAACCATTTATAAAAAAAATTTGTATGCAGTTCTTTGTAAAGTAGTTATTAAAACATTTCTACTTCATTTTGGATTGTGTTGAAGGTTCTCATAGCTTTAAGTTTTAATTTTTCAAAATCCTTTACAAAATGAAAGTTTTCATCTTTGTAATTATTTGGACTCAACTAATGCTTCTTCTTACCCGATCAGAGTTGAAAAACGAATTTTCTTTATTGCTTAATCGAATAAATAAATTTCTGCTTGAGAAAAGTCATTGGAAGTACTTTAAAAATTGATTTTAAAATGAGTTGTTTTCAAATGTTGAAATTTGTGTGAAATTTTTTGACAAATTTTGAAATTTGTGTATTTTTTGTCGTAGGAAGCAATGGCACATTTTGTCAACAAAAATAATTATTTACAATAAAAATCGGGTTTTTAGAGGCATGAATCAAGATTTAGACAAAAATAACACGAAGACATGAGCTGAGAGGAATGAAAAATGTGTTTGACTCAAATATTTAAACAAAATCAAGAAATTTCAAAAATGCAACCAACTTAAAAAAATTATACAAGAACAGAAAAGTATTCAAGAACTACGTTCTGTTTTCAGTCCCAAAAAGATGATTAAATAAACACAATAAATTTCGTTAAAATACTCTTATTTCTTTTATTTCTCAAAACAATTTTGCAAAATGCTATAAACTTTATGCTGAATAAATTTTGGAAAAAAAATATTTGTAGGATGTGCTTAGTGTTAATGGTGTCTTCTCGTCATACTCAGTCAACAGAAATGGATTTAACTATTAAATTCTTCCCTATCTCTTGACAAATAAATTTGGAATTCTTGAAAATTGTTCATTTATGCAGTAGTGTCCTTTAAAATTGAGATGGAGTTTATTTGGAAGTGTTCCTTGAAAGAAATCACCATTTAAAACCTTCGTAAATGCGTAAAAATATTGTTTGTTTACATTTGTGAATTGAAATGTGTCAATGCTTGCTGTCAAAAAAACGCACAAATTTCAACATTTTTTCGCACAAATTTTAAAATTTGCCGCACAAATTTCAACATTTGACCAAAAATGTCAAATTTCTCTTCCTATAAGCAGCATACTCATCAAAAAGTATGAAAAAATGAAAATTCCAACAATTTATGATAATTTAAGCCCAAAAGTAAATTTTTACAGTAAGGCATTAAAAAGTTATAAGCAAATGAAATCTTCAAGTGCAAAAACACACAAATTTCAACATGGTTTACCCTAATAAAAAAAAAATCGAGAAGAGAAATGAAAAATGCTACAAATGGTTCATGGCATGAAGCGCAGACAGAGCCAGATGATATATCAAAATTGTGACAGATATCAATTCATAATATATCATCATATAAAGAAGTATTTATATTTTTTCAACGTAAAGAGCATTTGTGAAGCGAATGGAATAAGTCATTGGAATAAATGCAGTTTATGAATTGTAGATTGGCTTAAGTAAGTGGATGGAGTAAGTGAGGTGGTACACTGGTGGACGGAATTTTTGAATTTTGAGGTTAGGCGAGTGCTGAGCTATGCTTTGATTAAGAGCCATGTCTTTTTCTTATCAATTTAATAGAAGATGATTAATTTTCAATTTTGAGGGTTAAATTTTTAAATTTAAGGTTAAGTATTATATATTTTACACGCCCTTAGTTTTGACGTTAAGTCATTTCATATACATACTTAGAATTACGAAATTGCAATTTTAAGGTTAAGGCAGAGTTGCGAAACAGGTCACCTGTGACAGGTGAGAACCTTTCAATTCCTTGATAATTTGTATGGTTTTGTTAGCAAAACCTTATAAATTATCAAGGAATTGTAGGGTTCTCATCTGTCACAGGTGACCTGTTTCGCAGCTCTGGGTTAAGGTTCATTAATTTTGAGGTTAGGTTTATGAATTTTAAGGTTAAGGTTCATGCATTTTGAGGTTAGGCTCATGAATTTTGAGGTTGGGTTCCTGAATTTTGATGTTAAGTTTCTGAATATTAAGGTTAGGTTTATGAATTTTGAGGTTAGGTTCTTGAATTTTAAGCTTACGTTTCCAAATTTTGAGGTTAAGTTCCCGAATTTTGAGGTTAGAATCATGAATTTTGAGGTTAAGTTCTTTAATTTTAAAGTTTGGTTCCCAAATTTTGAGGTTATGATCCTGAATATTGAGGTTAGGTTTATGAATTTTGAGGTTAGGTTCTTGAATTTTAAGCTTACGTTCCCAAATGTTGAGGTTAAATTCCTGAATTTTGAGGTTAGAATCATGAATTTTGAGGTTAAGTTCTTTAATTTTAAGGTTTGGTTCCCAAATTTTGAGGTTATGATCCTGAATATTGAGGTTAGGTTTATGAATAAACAATCATTCATTATCGAAAATCAAGAGTCTCATTAGAGCTAGTACATAAGCTACAGATCTTAAAATATGTCACACCTCTGCCTTTAAAAAATTCCCCAGAGTGTAAAATAAAACTTTTTAAGAATTCATCGCAGTCAGATCGATTGTCAGATTACCAAAGTCAAGATATAAAAAGTCGACAATTCTTTCAACAATTTGCAATTCACTTATCTCTCTCACTACTTCATTCCCCACCAGATTTTATCGTCATCTGCCCCGATACATTCATCAAGTAATGAAATGATGATCTATTTATCCAGACTTGATGGAATTATTGATTATGGACGAGAGAAATAAGAACATGGAATTTTATTTGAAATGATGGAGAAAATATGGACATTATAAAGATATTTTTATTTAATTTGATCCATAACTCATTTTTACTATATCTACTGTAATGTGCAAACAATTTTTTATGGCAAAAAACAGACTGGATGTACAAAGAGAAAGAAGGAAAGAGCAAGGAAAGAGATTGAAGGCATTTGGAACAAATAGAGATGAAAAGATGGAATTATTTGTCTGATGTTTGCTGAATTCAGCTCGGTTTTCTAGCTTAATTTTAAAGCTTTGAATAACTTTGCGTAAGTTTTGAAACATTTTGGCATCAATTTTGAATATTTGCATCATTTGCGAATTTTTGCATCACTTTTGCATCATTTGCATCACTTTCCGTTCAATTCAGCACAGCGTTGACAATTCAGCAATAATTCCGAGCTAAACCAGCTCAACTTCTTATTGAATGCAACAAAGAATTAAAACCAACAGGTTTTAAAGCTTGATGACTGATTCAATTTATCATAAACGCTAATTTCATTCAACTTTATTTCTACATCTCATCTTCGTCTGCTTCTCTTCCATCTCCTTCCACTGATCTTCATTTTATCATTATCTTTCATTTCAAATATTTTTATAATATTTACAGATCTGGAGCTCAAACAAAAACCAGAAATTGAAGTTGAATGATTTATTTCAATTGAATGTCTATCAAAAAAAGCAAAACACGACTCGATTTGGGAATGAAAATGGTAATTTACTCGCTCGATTTGATCAGACTTGTCTCACAAATTCAATAAATTTTATTATTTATTTCAACATTCTTTTAAATGCACAGGTTGATGACAGTTTTAGTTTATTTATTGAACAGATTTGACATGATTTATGACAAATGCACTTTCTTTATTACTTTATTTCAGCTCTTTTTTGCTGCTTTTTGATCTCTTTTTTTTCTCTCTCTGCTATGCCGCAAATGTCGTTTGTTTATTGATCTTTAACAGATTGGGATTTGAAGCTTTCATGGATTTATGGCTTACTGATTTCGATTAAAGATGATTTTCTGGCTGTGAGGAATTTATTTTGGATTAAGACTTGATTGTGCAGTGTTGTGGTCGAGTATAATGTGTGGTATTAAGGCATTTGCAGGCAAATCTGACAATGTGAGAGTAAAGTCAATGTCAAACTGATGTTGTCGAGTAATTAGGTAGCAATTCAATTAAATCTATATTCAAGGTTTTCTGCTAAGGCTATTACTCTTGGATTAATCCATATCCTAAAAGTAAAAACCTACGATGAATTATATATAAGGGCACATTTCCGCAGTATCCCAAATCATAAGTCACAACCTAGCGTAAAGCTCTCAGAAAACTTGAAGGGAGATTGAGTTCGATTCTCAACAGATTCAAATTTCTCAATAATAAAATCTGGTCTTTAGAATCTTACTTACTCCGCTAGTCTTTAGAATCAGTGGTTCTCAAACTATGTGCTGCAAAAAAATTGATTGCTAAAATTGACATTATGTTTTCATGTTTTATGGCTTCAAAAAGGTTATGATAATCATTTAATGTGACCATCGAGATATTAAAAATATGTGCCGTGGACCAAAAAAGTTTGAGAAACACTACTTTAGAAAGAGATACGACCAAGCACGATTACAATTTTGATCAATTCTATTACATTTGAGGATAGCATATAAAATTGAAGGTTAATTGGTGATTTACAAAGCTGATTTACTTTGAAAACTTACTAACTTGTGTAGGCTTCTCCAATAATTCATACTTAATTCTCATTTCTATCTCAGTAGCATCTAGTCACCACAAACTAATGATGAGTTATTGAATGCTCATCTAGAACATTCCAAAAAATCTCCATAATATTCAAATCAGATCAAGGCTTCAATCAAATAATTCAGAATAATCATAAATTTCGTGTTAAAAAATTCATTGGACTATTAACTCAATAACAAACAGCAGCAGCAGCAGTTTTGTAATATAAAAAATTACAAAAATAAATAAGAGAAAAAAAGTAAATCGACAGACAATAAAACACAACAGAGAACAGGTAATGAATAATGCATGATTGAAAGCTTGCAACAAAATTGCTCTGCAAAACGCACAATTTTATATTTATCGTATAATTTAATGGTGAGGAATAATAAGCAAGTTGTTGAACGACTCGGACTTGACAATTCATTGAGTATTTGTGGCGAAAATGCACAACTTCTTACTCGCTTTTTTAATACGATTAATGCAGCAACAAGAAAATAATTAACCAATTGAATGGGGGATTATCAATTACCACTTACTAAAAGGTTGACACGTGCGCGAGACTTGCTATTCTTTTCAGCGTATTTGCTTGAGTTTTAATAGGAAATGTTTTGTTATTTCTGCTTTGTAGGATTGTGGAGGTGATGGTTTGGCAGTTTGGATGATTAGAATGGATATTAACTGTAGATTTTGCAGTTGATCTCTGTTGAGGGTGCTCAAATTATTCATAAAAATGGAATAAAGCTATGTCATTCAATCAATTAACGGTTAGTAAACTCAAACACAGACATGAGATATAAGATCTGATTATAATGTATAAATCGATCATTATGAGCTAAGAAATGCGCCTTAAGCTTCTATCAATTCTGCTAAATCTACAACTCCTCACTTCTTACAAATATCCAAGATATAATTCCACAGAAATGAAAAAAGGAATTACAATAAAATTGTGAATCGAATTGTGTGATGTGATTATAAAGTATTAAAGAAACATTTAATAATATCCTTAGTGTACTTATTCACTCACTTACTTACTCATTTGTTTATAATTTAATGTAATGTTTAGTCTCAATTAGAATAATATTTAAATTTTAACTTCAATTTCTTTATGGATCGTTTAAACGACATTGTGGTTGGAGAACTTGGGAGAGGAGGCAAATAAAGTTTGATATTCAATTGGTTGTTTGAGATTTTCATACAAATTGATGATTATTGAGAGAATGTGAGGATAAATAAATAGAAAAATCATTTAAAATAAATTTTTGATTCAATAGTTGATATAGGCATGAAAAGAAGGGACGGAATTAGGCAAATACGAGTTTTCAAGTCAACGATTAGTGGTCCGAAATTAAATCAACTACCCGAAAACCACAAGTCGGTTAATCGAATAGAAAACGAATGCCAAGCCGGCATGACTCTAGCATGGTGCTAGATTTGATTTAAATCCAGCACCATGCCAGGATTCACACTGGTTTGCTGCCGGATTTTTCATCGATTAACCGAACTGTGCCATTCGGGTTAATTAGGAATTGATCCTTTACAATACTGAACTAATCGTTTTTGATTACAACATGTCAAACTTATTATGTTTGAAAACTTAACAAATTATTAATATTATCTACCAAATTTCATTAAATAACATTCAATAAACAATAAATATCAAACCTAATCAACATTATTCATTAGTACAGACAAATTAATTTAAAACCAAACACAAAATTTTCGTCCACTCGTGTCTGACTCATTAAGCAAAATCCAGTCGAAGAACAAGAAAGAAAAGAGCAAATTGCATGAACAGCCGATGACGATGATGTTGATGATAATAAAAAAAAGTAGAAAACGAAATGAAGTTAAAAGAAGAAACAATTCACGAGAGAGCATAAATTTTATTTTTATTACATGAATTTCTTGCTGAGATTTCTGGTTTAAAAAAAAAAACATTTTTATGTATTTATGTGTGTGACAGAAAGAAGTCGAGGGAACGAGATATGAGATAAATGATAAAAACGCAACAATTATTGATATATATTTTATTTTTTATTTTTTTGTGGTGCCTCACAGTAGTGGTAGCATGTGAAACAGTCACTCCAATTTCGACTGCATCGTAAATTATCAAGAAATGAATTTTTTCTTAGCGTTGTTTTGACTTTAAAGGGCAATAACTTGTAGTTTGGGTAATTGTCTGCACGTGGATTGAATTTTAATGTTGAGAGTCATGTGAAAAGGATCATTAGGGGGTCTGCAAGGGTGTGTTTAGCAATTTTCAATTGATGTGTAACTGTTGAACTTAGAAGATGTGAAAAAAAAGCTTAAAGACACAATTTGTATGTAAAATCAACGCACAAACCTAGTTAATATGCTTAATTGCTAAATTGTTAGCGTTGAGACAAAGCAGCTTTATATCTTTAAGTTCCTGATGATTACAACTTGTTTAAGTGTGAACTAGGGTTTTATACAAAAAGTCTTAACAAATATCAAACTTAGTAAAGCTTAGTCATTGCACCATCAATTTCAAACTCAATAAATTGATAAACTCAGACTTCTCAAGTACAAACTCTCCTAAAAATGCGCCCTATGCACGACGACTCATTTTAAATTCTCCTTAATTTCCTAAAAACTACTTAATCCCTCTCACCCATAGCTATACACATGTACGTACGACTGACTTTTTGTTTTGACATAATTCACGGCATTTTACAAAATTTTAATGCGATTTCTGTGGCGATAAATGGCGCGAGTTATGGAGAAGCATTAAAGACATATAAATTTCAATTTCATTTTTTTTTTCAGACGTTTATTAAAAAATTTCACGTGCACAACGTGTCATAAATGCAACATTGCAACATTCGTGATTTTTGCGATAAAAAAATTTTAATATATGCATTTTTGATGATAATAATGTTGAATGAAGTCTTTTGTGGTTCGTGGCCATGCAACATTTAGTCAGTATGTATGTGTTATTTATCACTGATTATTTTTTTCGGGACAGAAACTTTTTAATTTACTGCCGCAATCATTTTTAATTTATTCTAATCTTTAATCATCAAAAAAAGAGAGAAAAGTCTGTGCCTCATAAATAGACTTGAACGAAATGATTCAAAATCGAGCAGGTAAACAAGGCAGTACAGTAGTTGATATACATAAATCAGTAGAATATTAAATTTTAGGAATGAAATAATAAAATGTAAATTGCCATCGGCATCGACTTCTTTTAATCCTGTTTGTTGAAGATGAGGAGAGAAAATAGTATCGTTTATGTGAACTACATCATAAATCAGTTATGTCCGTCTCAGCTACTAGTCTCATCATATCATAGCTCGTAGGAAAATAAAAAAAAATTCCGAAATTAGATCGTAAAATTTAATTTGATCTCTTTTTGCCGCGCAGTATTAGTCATAATTTTTTTTGAGTCAGTAGCTAGTTGTTGAGTAGTTTCAAGCTATAGATAGGCAGTTTGTCATTACTTTATTATTGATATTTACAAAATATAGACCTTAACTGCTGTAATTAATTGTACACAACGAAATGGATTAAAACTAATGAAATGCAAAAGGTTCAAATCCTATTGAAAATTTTAAAAACAAAGAATAATTTTGGATTAGAAAACATTAATTCTTTTTTTGTCATTTTTGATACTTTTTTGTGCAAAAAATGCGCCATAACCATCACACTCGATCAAAAATTAAACTTCAAAATTTCGCAAATATTTGAATAATTCCGTTAATTATTATTCTATTAAACCTTGGCAATGTCGTCATTTATTATAAAATATTAATCCAGTTTCAACCTTTTTTTTAGTTTCTCAGTCGGTCGACTATTACTATTTATATCTGAATTTATTTTAATGACCAATTCTGCTACAAAAAAAACATTTCTAGTTTGTTTAAAATCAACTGAAACATATTTGCAAAGGTTTTCTTTATTCAAGGCAACAACACGAAGACGATATTTATGAGATTAAAAGTTAATGAGTTCAGCATAACTTCTTCTTCTACGCCTTCTTTTCAATTCATTTCCATATCTTTTTTTTTGCGATATTGGAATTTTTATTATGAGTATAAAAATACATCTTAATTAATAAAGATTACTAACCATGAGTGCATGTCTCTCGCTTTTTATTTACGTAATGGCTATGCGATGGAGGCAGAGTTGGAGGAATTGAGTTTCAGGAAGGATCAGAATCTTCACAGCCCCCCCCCCCCCCCCTCCCCCCATCTATTAATAATGAGGATTACTTTATCAAAACGCCTTTCAATCTCTAGAAGAGTTTTTGTCCTCTTTTCGACTACGCTTCACCCAAAATCCCCTAATTTCCACCCCTGGCATCTTGTTGGCATACATAGAAATTAATGAACATGCAATAATAATCTCAAGTTTCAATAAAAAATATGAATAAGATAACCGAAAAAAAAAATGAATTTATTATTTTTCAATATGCAATTTATCATGATGACACATTCATACTAATATGCGGCACATGTACGTACAGTCATAATACCAAATTGAGATTTTGACTTTTATTGCAGTAGCTGAAAATTTCGACATCATCCTTAACCCATAACATGTTCTGTATATCTCTAAAAAATAATTGAAAAAGGTTTAATTTTCGATTTTAATTTTACGATTTACATGAATCTTTCATTTATGCAAATTGATTGGTTTGTAATTGAGAAAAGGAAGAGTAAGGATGTATTTGTGGATCAATTTGTGGATAAGGCGCTAATAAACTGAGTGGAAAATTTGAAAAGGTTTTATATCATAATTAAACTTAGACTGTATAAGAGCGTTAAAGTACATTAGGTTAAAAATCTAGTAATGTTAGAGTTCGAATCTCAAGTCGGATAGTCGAGATGAAATCCTACGCTTCATCTGGCGTAGGATTTTGTCTCGATTATCCGAATTGTGCTATTCAGGAAAGAGACTCTATAACATCAATAAAATCCAGAACCCAATGTCTGTAAACAGAATAAATATCAGTTGGCTTTCGAAAATTTTGAAAAAATTCGTAAATAATCAATTTTAAAAAACAAATATACGTTAGTAATTTTGTCATATTTGAAAATTAAAAATACGTTAGTAATTTTGAAAATCATTAAAATATTTATTAACTTTAAAATTTAATTATTTTTTGAGGCAAATTCATTTCTTTTGTGCATAAAGCGACCCTGATACTGTAACTTCTTCCTGAATTCAACAAATGCTTTAATAAGCTTATCGATAGTTTCCTTGAAATAACATTTTTTGTATATACTTACAAGAGATGGAAATGCATCCGCATTTAATCGTACTCTCTTTGCATTCTTATTTACCATAGAGTGACAAAAATGAAGAACGCACAAAAAATACTTTTTTGACTGAATATATTGAATTTCATGATATTTTAAATAGTCGATCCATTTTCCTCGATGTATCGAACTCTCTGGAAGTTCAAATATGGGGATGTTGCTATTTCCTCTTCCTTTACAGCTTTGAATTGCACAAATTTTAACCATTTTAAAAAATTTCGAATTTTTGAATTGAAAATGTAAACAAATTTTCATAACGAACATTTTGAATTCAAATTTTTTTCCCGCGTTCGAAAAATAAGATCCTTCGAAATCGAAAAATAAGATCTTGTTTACAGACATTGGTCCAGAACATAACGAAAATTAAACGCAACAAGCTCAACCTTAAAAAAGAAGACAAAGAATCTTCTGCCGCATCGTCGACAGACTCAAATGAAATTCGATTTCACGACTTTTAATTAAAACGATGTGCTTTCACTCGGTCAAGATTGCGTTCTCATCTCTTCTTGCCAGCCAACAGTAAGGAACAAGAAGAACACACGAGAATTCGATTTCGATTTGAAATTCATTAACATCACTGCTGTAATTATTTATTTACTCAAAAAATTTATGATTGCAAGCTGAAAATTTGTTTTGCTTTCGCTTCCTCGTCCGTTTTTTTTTTGCCCTGCAGAACTCGAAAATGGAATTGCAATTTGACTTTTTCTGGGTGCACCTTTATTGTCTTTTTTGTTGTTTGCATTACATGACACTCAATTAGCAATTTAAACTTCTTTTTTCAGCTCTTGTCTTTAATCTTTTTTATTTTTTTTTGCTGTACTCTTTTATTGTGTTTATTTCGCTCATTTTAAGTGCGCTCTTAATTGCTGAATCTTTTCTTTTATGTCTGTTGTATATTGAGACATTTCTTATAGGCGACTGCAAATTTAGTGCGATTCATTGTGTGACTTAATATGGACTTTATTTTCGGACAAACAATGATGATTTGAGTATGATTGGTTCCTTAAGGCACATTTGAAAGTATTGGGAATAAGCCAACCTTAAAATAGTTAAACAGGTTGATATATGTAAATTTATTTTAAAAACTAGCTTCGATTCAGATTTTCCATAAATTTCTATTTTACCACATCCTCTCCTTCTTTCTCCGTGCTTTAATTCTTTCATTCAATCCAGACAATACACGGATCATTTGTTTGCAATATTTAAAGCAACAATAGGACAAATATGACAGCACGCAGCGGTTGACAAACTTCAAAGTGTTTTGCAAATTGCTTTTTAATGCAAATGACAACAAATGATTGCAAGCGCAAAGTGTGACATTTAAATAGTCAAGATATAGAAGTGTATATAATTCCATCAAATTTATGTTCATTTCCATGCACCACACCGTTGTAGAGCTGAGGTCATCGGCAAATGTTGACAAGCCGAGTGTGTGGGCTGACTGACTTAATGATAATTTTTGCAAAAAGAAAAAGTTATGGAATGTGTGGCTATTATTTTATTGCTTTTTTATGCAAAGTGTGACTTAAGCTGTTATGTTCTATTAGACATTGCTAGCATCTTCATGTGCTATATTCAGTACGCAGGTATTGTCTGTAATTCTTATTTTGTTTTGCTTATGAACTTTTTTGGAATTTCGAATTTCTTTCCAGGGGTTGAGGAGTGCTCTATTATACATTAAAGTCTACCTAGGTTCATTGTAGGTATGCAACCTGAGATGAGCTCTACCCGTGAAAATCCAAAATACAATAATAATCTCTGTCTATACCAAAAACCAGGTCAATTCAAAATAAAGCCATCTCAACAACAATCAACCCTGAACTTCATGTAACAGCATTGACAAGTGCTAATCCACTACTCGTGGATTTTTTTCCTTCTCTTTCATATTTCCCCATTTTTGGCAATTAATGGCACATCATAAAGTAATTATAATTCCTCAATATACACAAAAGCAGTAGAGCATTATTGTTATACATGTGAGAAAAAAAAATTGTATTTATTCCTTAATTATATCATTGTCTGAGCTTAGCACTGAATTATTATTATTATTATTTGGCTGCTCTTGCCTTTATTCGAACTGGTAAACAACCGAAAATTATTGATCTAAATTTAATCCAAACTTAATAGGTTTCATCGAACACATCTCGGCACACATTATCGCTCTTTCGTGTGAGCATTTTCGGTGGCGGCTTAATGACGATTTTTTTTGTCTTCACAATAGATTTAAATCATGAAGTAGAAAAAAAAACAGACTGATTTCTTTATATAGTGTTATTTTGTTTGTTCGTCGATGCCAAGGTTGAAGATGGAAGAAACAATTTGACTTCTTGAAATGTGAATATTTCAATTGTTCATGTGTACATGCAGATTTCATGATGTGTGGAATGGGATGGGAAGTTTTGGGTTTATATTCGCAAATTGTTAGCTATAATTATAAATTATTTGAATTTTCTAAAGATTATGGACTGACGAGTTGGTTCGAGTCCTACTAATTTGAGATAAGATAAAGGTTTTCAAAATCATCTGAAATTCTACTTTTTGTCATTTAAATCTACAAAGTTTAATTGAGAATTTAAATATTAGTCACAAATGTCATCAAGATTCGTAGGTTCAAATCCTAATTAACGGTCATTCTGGGAATATCTATTGTTCTTGCTGACCCCCCCCCCCCCCCCCCCCGGTCGTCATAAGTGAATGGTGCCTTAAATATTGCTTATTAATAATGTTTTTTGAACCATGAACCATCCATCCCTAGACATTCCCAAAACTCCAATCTTAATTCACTCAAAAATCTTTAAAATATATCATTCACAAAAAAACTGCGAAGACAGAAGTCTGACACTCGAGGCGCATATTATAGAACAAAAAGGCATATTATAGATAATTGTGATGGACTTATTGTTGAATAAAATTCATCCACAGCTCCTTGGCATTAGCAAATTAAATTACAATTTACATCGAAATGAATTAAATTAAATTCTCGCTATTCTTTAATTTATGAGCTCAGCTCCTTTTGCGTGATAAAATAAATGAAAAGATTCTTATTCTTGATGATTAATTTCTGTGCCTAATTGCGTTATTTTGAAAGAACTGAGCAAAAAATAATCACAATGTGGGTCACATTTGGATATATGAAAATTGACTCATGCTCTAGCTGAACAAAAGAATAAATGAAGCGAGCCGTAGAACAAATGAATCGATAATCACAATAATTTGAGACTTAAAATGGAAGGAAATATGACGGATCTGAAGCTATAATTGAATTTGTAAGACATAACAATAATTGTATTGAGTTAGAAGGACACTCGATAATGATGAATTGTACTTAAAGATTATTGAAAAATGATATTTGCTGTGTTTAAAAACATGAATATAGAATATTGATCAGATTATGGGATCGTATAGTTTCCAATGGGTGGAGTAGCAGCAATTATCAGAAGATCTTGACTTCCTAGATCTAGTTTATTGATGTACTTATTCTTGGGTATCCTGTAGTCTGGTTGTGGTGTTCAAAATGACGTAAATGGTTTGCTAAGCTCGGTATTTACTAGTTTAATATCTAGTAGCTTCGAAGCTACAAGTAAAGTAGCTACTAGCATAGTATCTACAATCTTGAAAGAAACAAGCTTGAAATCTACAAGCTTGAAAGCTACTAGCTTCATAATTTAACAAAAAACTTCAAAAACTTGAAAACTCAAAACAGCATTACTGCCATCATCATTCAAAAATTAGCAGTGATTTTATTATAGATATCATTTGCTTATTCGAGCAAAAAAATATGGAACATCCGCTGTAAATCAATAATTCTTAAGTTTCTCGACTGCAGAAACAAAACAATCAATTCAATAAAATCAGCTCCAATTTAATTTAAATAAAAACTCGACCAGATAAAACCAAATAAAACAATTTCCTTTCCTCTGATTTCTAAAAACATTGGTGATATAGTTTCTAGGGGTTGTTCATAAATGATGTTTTTTAAAGCTTAGAAATCTAATCGATAGAAGCAGGCGCGTAGCCAGGAAAGTCTTGTCCCTCTCTTAAGCGTTTTAGGCTGTGCTCTCGCAAAACTTTTAGGGGGGGGGGGGGGGGGCAAGGCCCTCCTGGCTACGCGCCTGGATAAGAGTATATAGATTGATATTTAAAGAGGAGTCACTAAAGTTTCATCTTGTCATTAATAGCATGACGTCATTTATGAATCACCCTATTTAGAAGCATCATAAAAGAGATCTATATTTTGGAAATATAAATTCCATAAAAATTAGAAGACAAACTTTTTTAGGAATTAAAAAAAA